CAGTTATTTAGTTTTTCTTAATTTATGATTTATTGCTAACACGTTGTCTTGTTAGGTGACCTTGAGTGTTTTGAAAGGTGCCTATAATTAAAATGTACTAAATGTAAATCACTTGCTAGTGTAACCTACCAAATTAAAATAGCACATACACTTAGTAATTACTCATGCCATGACAAGGGGAATGATCATTGTAATTACAGGCAGGCTGTTGGCAACGGTCCAGATGAAGTGACAGCTGAGCTACAAACACCTTCTTGAGTGTTTCCTAGTACCCTCTGTGATGAATGTCTTTACAACTGAGCTATTGTCGCCCCAAGCTAACATGCTCACAGTGACGTTGGTGTGAATCTGGTTGCGTTACTGCAATGATCGTGCTTCTTCCTGACACTTGTCTGCTGACTACTGTTCTCACTCTACCACTCTAAGTTCTTGTCTTCAGAGCTTCTTCTATGTCTTTAATCTTTTTAATATAGATCAACCGGTATTTCTTACAACTGGTGAACAACAAAACAGGGCATTTGTTCTGACATTTTAATGTTTTAAAAGAAACCAGTGTTAACCATTGAGGACTGGAACTACATGCCACTGTCAAAATGAAATGATTGGGTAAACGGAGCAAACAGCCTCGTTTTAAAAGGAGTACAGTCCTGATAGACAGACTGACTCCAATAGACTCAGGCCTCCAGTTAATTACTGGACAGTGTCTATAAACCAAGTCACATTTCTTACGTGACGCTTTAGATCCTCATCTAAGGGTTGTGGTTGTAACTACAGAATAAAAGTTAAAGTTGGTTACAAAGCTTTAAGGAAACTGTTAAAACACTGAAGAGAGTCAGGTTCAGGTGATGTAAAAGAAGTTTCAGAGACTGATGAAGACTTATACAGTATTATTTAACAAAACTCGGCTGAGGAGATACAGTCCCAGCATACTAAGTGTGAAAACATGAGTTCCTGTCTGGGGATATGTATCCTTCATAGACCCATAGAGATTCACTAAGTGTTCAAATAGAGAGCCAGTCAGTTTGTCTGTAATGAAACAAAATGAAGTTAACCTCGACCTTGGGTTAATAAACAAATGGATAGCAATAAATCCTTATCAAGGCAGCTGCGTCAGTCAGTCGACCAAACAGGCAGAGAGGAGTGAGAGTCTGACCTATTGATTTGAGTCCCTTGCTGTCACCTTTGTCTTAGCGTTAGCTCTGCAATTGATTCTATCATGACCTGAGGTAACCTGTGACGTAGTACCTCTAACTTCCTTCACAGAGACAAATAGTGATGGTATGTTGAAATAAAAAAACAGACCAACAAATCCTGGAGCCAAGACACTTCTTACATACCTCGACATGACTGAGAAGACAAACTGAAATTATAAATCCCAGAACAGCATGGTGCAACATGTGACTCTCTCTGGTCTGGAGTCTACAGGTGAAGCTGTTGCTGTGTCTCTTCTCCACAGTCACTCTGCTGCTGACAGTATAGAGGTCATCAGGACCTCTGACTGTCTCTGTAGGTCCAGCAGAGAGGAGGTTTCCCTCACCGTCCAGCCAAAACACCTCAGGCTCTGGATACCAGCCTGCAGACTCAGTTTATTTACTCTTTATATAAATGTCCTTAAACGTGCTTCTAAATCATTAGATTGTGTTATAAAGTCAACAATGGTAAGTATTTAGTTGCCTGTCAGAAAGCCTGTTGTGCCCTCTTGTGGTTGAAGTGAAACATTGCAGTGTGGACTCCAGCAGATCTGCTCCCCTTCTTAATGATCCAGTTTGTGTCTTCATGTGGATCAAACATGTCTCTTAGTGTCCTTGTTTTTATCTTGTAGATGTGCAGTTGGTGTTTGAGGTGATGGAGGTTACCCCAGCAGTGGAGCTGTTCATAAGGAGACCATTCATGCAGAGGAAGAGGAGATGAGAGAGGATGAAGCAGTTAATGAAGACAACACATGAAGAGCAGTTATGAGCATAGATGAAGAAAACTGTCAGAGTCTCCAGGAGGATGAACTGAGAAAACTTAAAGACAAAGGAACAAGAACACAAACAGAAAGTGAATAGCAACTAAAAAATATGGAAAAGTTCATAAAGAGGAAAAAATTTGATAAAACCTCAAACACCACTATGACAGTACAATAGTTCTGCATTCAAAAAAATATTATATTATTATTGTAAATGTAAGTATCTAAGTAAAATGAGTGTTCTGTTCCCCATTGCAACTGAAGGAGTACCTGCTAGCACATCTAGCACTAACAGTAGCTAATGTTACAAAAAACACTAATGCTAGCTAGCTATGGCTACATAAAATGCTACCTAAAAAGCAAAGAAACACCAAAATTATTGCTTCCGCTACTAATGCTGCAAAAAACAAAATCTAATGTTGACTTTTTGTTTCATATGGAAACCCAACTCCAGTCTCCTTGGTGAAGGTTGCCTAATTTACTAACTACCCACTCTACAACTCAAAAAGAAGGACTTTCTGGTTATTTATACCCTACACCTGGTGTTTTTTCACATGCACTTTGTCCCTGGCCGCAAGAGGCCACACATAATGTAAAACTTAAACCCTTTGTGGAGGTGGCCATGGTTTTAATTGATCTCCTACTGCTGCCAGGCAGCCTCCACTTGGTGCTGGTGCATCGCTGCATTCTCCCCCAGCATCTGTGCCAACAATGCCACGCTGCTGCTTTCTTGGGTCCGCCATTCTCCTGACGGTTGTACTGAGGTGGGTGCCAGTGTAGCAGAACCCTCTAGCTACTTCTACTTCAGTACAGACACTGACACAGGAGCATGTTGCAAACAGTACAAGCTGCCACTCACCCACACACCTCCCAGCATAAAACTTCTGCCTGCACTGGGCCACACGCTTCCCAGCTTGCTCCCGCCGATCTCTTCTGGGCAGTTCTTCACAAACAATAACTACAGTCTCAAACTCACAGCCCCCCTGGCTGTTCTCCCTATATGTGAGTCACAGCAGGCGGCAGACATCGGAGGTCCAGCACACTACTGCACACTATTGAAGGAGATAATAATTAGTCAATGGACAGCAGCTGTGACTATTTACTCTACCTGGCTCTGCTTACCTCCCCCACCTCTCCCTACTACAGCTGAATGTAAACCACCTCCTCCACACCCTCACCTATCAACCTATGTTGTTGTTGTTTTCTGGGTGAGGAAGGGCTGATTTTACCGCTATAGTTGTTGAAGGTTGAGCTCATTTTAACTACTTTATAGCCTGTTGGGTAGTTTAACCTACAGTAATGCATCATGGGCTATAAGATCGTTATATTTTTAGCATCACTGTCCTGTAAAAAACCACATATCTCTTAACAACTCAAATTTTCATGAGCTCAGAGAAACAGCCCTCTGTTCAGCTTTGTGACAATGCATTTTCCAGCTGATCCGAGAAGGGTTTAAAAATGAGCTTAAACAGGAGGAGGCTTGTCTCAGCCTATGAAAGAACACACATCTAATATCACCACATTTGGAAACACGTGGTTTTCACTCTACAGGAACGGTATGAATAATTGCATTCTGTAGGGGTTAACATAGCTCCTGTCACCTCCTGTTTCTAGCAAAGGATGGACAGATAGATAGATAGATAGATAGATAGACGGAGTGGTCCTGATGGTGTCGGTTGCCATAGTAACTGAAACTACTTCAGCCAATAAGTGTTGCTCTTAGTTGAATTACATTGATCTTTGAGTGTGTCTCCGTCTCACACAGTAAACACATTTGATCTAGATTACACATTACATCCACTTCAGTCTGAAGATTCAATTTGGCTGCATGCATTCACTAACTCACTTACACAAACACACAAACACACACACACACACACACACACTCAGCCATGTGTCGTTATCTTTGTGAGGACCCGTCAGTGACTGGGTTCCAGCGTTTTGGTCCTCACAAAGATGTCGGACCTACAAGTATATTGGACTCCCGGTGTTCAGACCCCATGAATATAGTAAAACAAGCCCCCAAACACACACACATTAATGAGTCCCAGCCTGATGTTTTGATTGCGTTTTACTGTCTGCTACTTAGGCTGAGTGCTTTCTCTTGACTTTATTAGGCATTTTAATCATCTACACCCACACACACACACACACACACACACACACACACACACACCACAGCCACAGATAATCATAGCTGCTTGTTTGGTATGCCCTCTGTTTGTGTATGTATGTGTGTGTGTAACCTATATTTTATTTTATTTTTCTGGTTCACAGTGAGGGTTGATTGATTATGTATGTTGAGCCTGTAGCACTGTGTGTTTGTGTGTGTGTGTGTGTGTTGTCAGGAAACACAGGAGACTCGTTTCATCTTCTTCCTCGCTTCCAGCCATGATCTCACACACACACACACACACACACACAAACAAACTCGTAGAAACAACTGAGACTCCTACTGAGGGAGTACAGATGGACAAAATAACACAAACACCTTTACAATCTAATGCAATGCAACGCAAGAGTCCTGCAACACATTATACTGTTGTGAATGCACGCACATTTGTTCTGTTATACTTGTGAGGGCCTCTATTGACATAATGCACTCCCTAACCAAACATTAAACTGCTTTAACATTCAAAACTTAATCCTGAAACCAAGCACCTCAGCCTTTTAAAGCAGCTATAATTCCAGCCTGTTTATATTCCCAGGGCGTCAGATAGCTACGCTTTGTCTTTCAGTGTCTGGTACCAACACACATGGCACCCTTTAGCGCCATTGTTCAACACTAAAAGTGGGCCGCGTATAAATAACAGAAATATCCGAGTAAGGATGTGGTTCGGACGAAAACCAGATTTTCACCCAGGAAAACAAAAAGTCAACATTGATTCCTTTTCCTTTATCAAGTCATGTCACTTACAGTGGTATTACTTAACTTACATAATTTAAGTCACAGTTATTTTAACCAAAACCATGATGTTTTCATAAACCTAAACAAACTGCACTGTTTCACAATGTTAACCACTACTTTTATTTTGAAAGTCTAACTTGATGATGCATAGGTATTCTTGCTAACTTGACCGCAGAGCCCTATACATGCAAAAAACGATGCTAAGGTAGCCTGGGTGTGAAAAAGTGACGTCAAGGGGTCTTGACAAAGCGTCCATATGTGACGCCCTGGGAGGAGAACGGGTTGATTCATGTTTTTAATAATAATGGCAGCCAAATCTGCCTCACTTTAGGGTAGTTTTTTATCTGTCCATCTGAACATTTACAGTTGTGGTTCACTCAAGCGTTCTCTGTGCATCGTTTTCAGAGAAGAAGCTGTAAAAAGCCACTGTACTGTACCTGCTCAACAGCAAACAGCAGACAGGCATAGTTATGGACGAGCTGGTGAACACAGTGGAGCATTTAGCAGCTAAAGAGCTAGATATTTCCTTCAGGAGGTGGTGGAGACCAAAAACAGAGCTAAAAGAGAGCAAATATTGGACTTTCATTCATCAGGTGACACAAATACGACATTCAATATATAAACTTGAAAGGTGATGTCAGTGTTGTGTTCACATCTTGTTACTGCCCCCAAGTGGCCAAAACATCAGTTATTGCACAATTAAAGAAGTGAGGATCAGACAGAAAAGTTTTTTCCCCTGCAGGAACTCAGAGGAGAATTTCAATCCCAGGAACCAGACAGAGTTCCTGTAGTATTTAGTTTAATTTAGTTCCAGGTGTTCCGGCTCCACTATTTTAATGTATCTTTTTAGGGGTGGAGTTGGCATCCCCAACTGGTCAAACACAGACGGCCCTGCTTCTTGAACTTGTGCACCACTTCATTCATAAAATGAGGAAGGATTGTAGGATCATTATTAGGACGAAAGGTGGGCGTTTCTTGTTGTTTATTAACGTTAAAAATAAAGTAAGGAATTGTTGGACAGCTTCAAAACTTTAAAAAAAAGAGCGAGTGAGTGAGCTAGAGAGAAAAATAACGATTAGCTAGTTGTTTCATGGCAGTTACATTCCAAACAGAAATAAATAACCGTAAAACACTTTGTTGGTGCACGAGATACAAACAAAACAGAGATATACAGAATATACTTTTTATGTACTTCATCTAGTATATTGTTGTGCAATGAGGATCTGTAAGAAATTGTTTTAGTACATACAAACCACAGAGTGTAGAAACACATGGCAATATTGTGTCTGTGATGTTACCCAGAAAATCTGCCTAAAAACCAAATTATTTAATCACTCAGCGAACAGGAAATGGATTTTACCCATAAAATAGTAAAAATATCAACCAGGGTTTAAAATATTAATGATTTTCAGAAAGAAAACAAGAAAATATCTTTTCACTTAGAGGTGTGTGTGTGTGTGTGTGTGTGTGTGTGTGTTTGTGTGTGTGTGTGTGTGTGAGTGTTTTAGCTGGCCTTGAGGGGCTTACTATTGTGCTGTCAACACGCTGCAAAGCCTCATGGGTAATAGGAGAGAGATTTTTCAGATTCTTGCTTGCATCCACATACACATACACATACACACACACACACACACACAGAGAATGTAAAGTGAAAGAAAAGTGTGTTGGTTGAAGAAGTCACATTGAACACTGCACATTAAAATACAGAACACACATTAGATTCTCTGCAGCTCTTCTACTAGTACTTTCCTTTCTGCTTCTCTCCTTTTTTTCCTTTCTTTTTCTCTCCATTTCCTTCTTAATCTTAATCCTCCTCTCCTCTCCTCTTCCTCCTTTCCTTTCCCCCCGCCTTTATTCTCCCCTTAAAGCCTCCTCTCCTCTCCTCATTTCCATGTCATTTTATTTGCTTTTCTTTCCTCACAATGTTTTATGTTGATCACAAACTCAGCTCAGGTTTTGCAGCCGTCTGCTTGTTATGTTGCCTCCATATTTTTAATCAGTTGCAGATATCAGATTTTAAAGCTGTTCTTGATGCAGCTGCAGATTAAACTCTCTCATGTTGAACTTTTTATTGCCTCAAAGGCCATAAAAATAGGAAACCCCCGTAACATCAGACTCTTTCTTCTTTCACGTGGTTGCAGTGAGCAGGAACAAATCAATCCAGTTGTGCTAACATGCTAGCAGGCTAGCATGCTAACATGCGACTCAAAGAAAGCCACTGAACATTTATTTTATTAATTTTATCAATGAAGCTCAAACAAACATAAAGCACCTCCTACGTGTTTCAGTTTGTTACTTGTTCAGGATGTTGAAGCCAGTTTTGTTGCATAATGTTATCTGCTCGCTCTCCCACCAACGCCCACGTATCCTGAAACACAAAGCTCTGCTGTGAGCGCTGAGACAGACTGTGAAGCCGTCAGGAAATGTGGAGGAAGATGGAGGAGTTTAGTCTCAGTTAAAAAACATTTTTTAAAAAGCTTTGTTTTTGCTGATTTTGAAGGAAGTTTGGCCAAAGACGTTTGACAGCAGCAGCAACAAAAAGTGAAATTTAAAGTTAATTACAGAGAGAACATCACACCCGACTGACTCTTCTGATGAAACAATTTGCATTTTACATTAAAAAGACTTTAAAGACTAATAAAGTAACAAAGGTCACATTCACTCCATGGGGTATTCAAATGTTTTACTTAAGTAAACATAGCAATACAACAGTGTAAACATACTACAAGTAAAAGTAAAATAAAAAAAAATGCATGCAAAGGTTCACTTATGAAAGAAAACAAAAGTACTAGCAGCAAAATGTACCTGAAGTAAAAGTACTTATTATGCAGAATGGCCCATTTCAGAATAAAATATATCACTGGATTATAATTTGTGATGCATTAATGTGTTAATTACTTTAATGTTGCAGCTGGTAAAGGTGAAGCTCATCATTTTAATTACTTCATATACTTCAAGTTGTGAACACATTCATGCAACAATAATTATAATCTAATAATATGAATTTGAAATGTGTCCTAATGCATAACAAATACTTTTACTTTTTGTACTTGATGTACATTTTACTGCTAGTACTTTTTTTCCAGGTATCACTTTTACAAGTAAAAGAGTACTTCTTCCACCACTTAGTATATATTGTATGTGGTATATCATTAGATATACTGGGCACGTTTCTGCTTTGAGTACTTTTACTGTTATACTTTAAGTACATTTTCCTGATGATACATAAACTTTTACTTATAACAGAGTATTTTTACAGTTTCGTATTAGTACTTTTACTTAAGTAAAGGATCTGAATGCTGAACACTTTGAATGCTTAACGATTTAGTCTGTCTTTCTTTCTGCTTCTTTTGCAGCTTGCAGGTTTTTTGTTGAAAGCCAATTGCCTCTGACGCTTAGTTGCGCTGCCCCCCCACCCCAGCATCGTTACCATGGTAACCTCCCCATCAGTTTCTGGGCCAAACAGGCTGAATAAACACAGGTTGTGTGTGGCTGCAGTGATTATTATTTTCATTTTAACTTGTATTTCTGCAGCCATCAGGATCACTCTGATTTACATTCACACAGATGCTCCAGTTCTTTGGTTTACTGCCTCCATTGGTAATTTTCTGAAGTACTGCTCCATTTAAACCCAAGTTAATATTAATTATTTATCCATAAATTAGTGGACACTTCACTCTTCATATACAGTACGTTGAACTGTGTATTTATGCTTGTTCGGCTGACCTGCTGTGCACTGATTAAAAGACTCTCAAGGTTACACTAGCAATTACTTGCAATTAATTAATACATCTACTAATTAAACACTTATCTTCCATATAATTAGGTCGAAATTACAAAGCCCTTCCCAGGAAACATCGAAACGAAATTACAGACCTGTGAAATAATGTATTACCCACTTCTCTAAGATTAAGTTGCATTCTAGGTTGCAGCCATCATCGACTTAATTTTTGTGCTTATAAAACTGAACAGATTTTATAAAAGTGTCATTAAAAGAAATAGACTACTTTTATATGCTTGCTGTAAGACAATGCTTCAGTTTATCTTCTAGCTTCAGTGAACTGGTTAACACTTTTATTTGTGAGAAAGCGCAACCATAGCTTGAGACATCACAGCTTGCGTTCTTTCTAAATAAAAACATCAACTTGAAAAGTATTGTTCATAAAAGTGCGTCAGACATTTCTGAGAATGAACAAGTCGACTCAGCGGTTTATAAAACTCATCTTTATTGATCCATAATTCATCCCCTCCCTCCTCTTCCCATCAAGAACAATATTTTCTTCTTATAAAAAGCTGAATATTTACATCCTCTTTGTATTTACAGTATTTTACATGATAATGTGATCAGGACGCCTCTGCAGAGCCTCACACCTGCAAAGGTCAAGTTTACAGGAAAATCACCGCCTAAAATACCACCTGTTGCTGGGGGAAATATCACCCAAACCTCTGCTTATTGGCTGGAGTTGTTGCCGGGCAACGACAGTTTATCGGATTAATATCTGGTAGAAGGAGCTGTTTTAAATTATTTATCTTTTTTTTTTATATTTCACAAGCTGGAAAACATGAGGAGTGACTCTTTGGAGACACATGAAGAAAAAAACAGCTTAGAACAGAAGAAATAAATCTTCTATGGAAGCACAGAAAGGCCAAAATAATTACAATATTATATTTAATTATGAAAAATAACCCCATAACCAAAAAATAATAACGTTTGCAATTGTTCTGCAATTTTACAAAGTTACATTTTGAAATTCACAAATCACATAAATTCAGATGTTTTTCAAAGTTAAACATTCTTTAAATTAAGTGGTATTTACATTTCAACATTTAAATGTTAAGTAGTGATTAAATGTCACAAGTGGTTAGATTCAATGGCCTTTCTGCGCTTCCTAAGACTTTCTGTATAAGTAGTTTGGTTCCTCCGGTTGTTTCTGTAGTCTTTCTGAATATTGAGTATACGGAGTTAAATAATGAGCAAAAACGTGTAACAGAAATATGCGGAAAAAGTGAGTGAATAAGTAAAAATATTTTTAAAAGCAGGTTTAAGAGTAAGGGCGGTTCCTTAAACCTGCTTTTCTCACAGATTCAGTTCAGTGTTCAGTTGATTTTCACTAAAGATTGTAGGAAAATAAAACATATAAAGCAGTTTTATAGCAAACGACTAGTTGTTTCTAGTTGTTTTACATTTTGATAAATGTTATTTTACATTTAGCTGAACAATCTAACACCTTTTAAACGAAAACATTTGATTACTGATTGAAACTAGTCGAGTCTTTAGTGTTCAGTTACAGATCTGATGGACACAGGCGTTACTGATGACATTAACACTGTCTCCGTTATATTCAAGTGTAACTTAAGCAGCTACATGTTATTCAGCCATCATTCATGTCATAATTTCCACCTGTGCGTTTCCTGCTGTGACATCAAAAGGCCGTCTGTGAAAAGGCAGAACCAAGGAGTCGTCTGTGCCGTCTGTACTTTTAAACACATTGTTCTGCATTTAACTTCACTTTTGGCAGGAATACTGAGGATTTGTGACATATTATGAGCAAAACTGCACTATAACTCACAGAATCGTGTGGGTCTGTGAGTGATTTAGCGCGCAGTAAACTTTTACAGAGGTGACAAGCAGCTTGGAGTAGTAAAAATAATCCTCCTCTGCCTTTACAGTAATGTTTTTTACTATAAAAAAGGTCGTCTGTAAAGCTTGACTGAAAGTGAGGGATTGTTTGGACTCTCTTTAGAGATGTGAGGCTCTGGCGGTGGCTGGATTATACAGTTTAGTCCTCCCTCTCTGCCTAATGGGAAACTTTTATTCCCAAACATTCACGGTTTCACCCGCTGAGTTGACGTTTCTTGCGCCGTCACCGGCTCTTGTACAGCTCCAAACACTCCATATGTTACAGTACTGCAGGGCCGAAACACACAAAGTACATTTAGAGGCAACAGAGACGGGAAGTTTCACCGGCAACTAAACAAAAAACAAGCCAACTGAAAATGGCTGCTGGTATGAAAAACAATACTGACTGATTTCTGATTACTGTCTTCACATTCATGTTGAGCATGTTGCCCGTTGCATGTTGCCCGAGCATGTTGCATGTTGGTTTGTTTAAATAGCGTCGTTGACCTCCTCATTGGTTCAGCAGCAAAGAAAAGTCAATGCCCTCGTCGTTGCATCCTCCGTCAGTTCAATTCGACCACCATCGCGGAAAACATTAACATCCATGTTTCTGTCCGTCAAGGGGTCAAAAGCATTCTTCTGTCGCCACAGCTCCCGCCAGGCCGAGGCCGCCACGTTGGAAGCCATTTTGTACGGTCCATTTGGCGCCGTCCGTGTCAGCGCAGCCATTTTATTTATTAACCTTAAACTTTTATCTTTATTTATCTTATCATTCACAGCGAGCATCCAGATTTAAGTTTGTCTATCTGTCCGCCCAGCTGTCCTCTTTAATGTGTCCGTTTATCAGGATATGTTGTAACATTCATGTCGGACTGTTGGAGAAACTGGACGTTGCCATGACATTGGTAAAAAAAAAAGAAAAAAGTCTGGCATCGCCATTTCTGTCCTCTTGTCTCTGATGACATCACTCTGTCCTTCTTCTCAGTCCGTCTCTTTCTTCTTGTCGTCCAGGTCGAAGTCCAGCACCAGCAGTTTGGTTTCCTCCGTCCCGTTCCTGCTGCCGGCGGCGCACACCAGCCGAGTGTCGGACGCTCTGATTCGCCACACAACTCCACCTGTAAAGAAAGAAGATGGTTGATTTAGTCTGTTAACGGGTGAGTGTACAGTTACCCCCCTCGCCCCACCACTGTATGTTCGCGGCTCTGACCTGATCCCCGGCTCTGCAGCGCCACCACGTCTCTCAGCCAGGCCCCGGTCTTCAGGTCCCACAGTTTGACCGTCCCGTCGTCGGAGCTGGACAGGACCAGACCTCGGCAGAACTGCAGGCAAGTCACGGCCGACTGGTGCTTATTGGGACCTGAAGGAAACATCATCACACCGTGACCTCTGACCTCCTCAACACACCAACACATAGACAACCAGTAGCAGTGCCACAGTCAACAATATAAAACAGAAAAAAACAGCAGCTATTCACATTTTAGATTTTAATAATCAAAATACTGTAGTTCTGAATTAACTTTTAGTTTTACAGAGTTTCCGTAAGTGTTGTGTATCTGTGCTGCTGATGACACTGAAAACTGTCCAGTACAACGAATGTAAACCCAGTCCAGAGGAGCAGAGCCTGTTAATGCTACCAAGATACTTTTGAAGTTGCATTAAGTGACCACTAGAGGGCAGAAAGGGTCCAAACCAGACACACAGCCCTGAGTTGTTATTGATAACCAGTAGCCTTTTTGCAGCAGACACTGAACAATATTATCATTCATTTGGAGTCGTCCAATGTTCTCTCTCTCTTTTAGCTCCAGTTTTGGTCTCTACCAACTCCTGAGGAAAACTATCCGGCTCTTTAGCTACTAAATGTTTCACTATGTTCACCATTTTGCAGAGGTAGAAGACGTACTCAGATCCTTAAGTACTGTGTACCACACTGTGAAAATACTAATAAAAATATTGTAAATATATAGTTTTCACACTTGTGCAGGCCACTCATCTCATTCTGCCTTTGTTTCCCGTTTCCTTCCATCATTTCTTTCTACTATTTGTCCTCGTTTCCTTCATTTCTACTGTTTTACCTTGTTTCCTTCCTTCCTTCATTTCTACTGTTTGTCCTGGTTTCCTTCCTTCCTTCATTTCTACTGTTTGTCCTGGTTTCCTTCCTTCCTTCCTTCCTTTCTACTGTTTGTCCTGGTTTCCTTCCTTCCTTCCTTCCTTTCTACTGTTTGTCCTTGTTTCCTTCCTTCCTTCCTTCCTTTCTACTGTTTGTCCTTGTTTCCTTCCTTCATTCCTTTCTTCTATTTGTCCTTGTTTCCTTCCTTTCTACTCTTTGTTCCTCATATCCTTCCTTTCTACTGTTTGTCCTTGTTTCCTTCCTTCATTCCTTTCTTCTATTTGTCCTTGTTTCCTTCCTTCCTTCCTTCCTTTCTACTGTTTGTCCTGGTTTCCTTCCTTCCTTCCTTCCTTTCTACTGTTTGTCCTTGTTTCCTTCCTTCCTTCCTTCCTTTCTACTGTTTGTCCTTGTTTCCTTCCTTCATTCCTTTCTTCTATTTGTCCTTGTTTCCTTCCTTTCTACTCTTTGTTCCTCATATCCTTCCTTTCTACTGTTTGTCCTTGTTTCCTTCCTTTCTACTGTTTGTCCTTGTTTCCTTTATTTCTACTGTTTGTCCTCGCTTCCTTCCTTCCTTTCTACTCTTTGTTCCTTGTTTCCTTCCTTCATTCCTTTCTACTGTTTGTTCCTTGTTTCCTTCATATCTCCGATGTTTCCTCTCTTTCTCCCGGAGGACTGCAGCTTTTGTGTCAGTGTGTTTTAGTGCTGAGTCGACAACAAGATGGAGGTTGTCATCCACACACACACACACACACACACACACACACACACACACACACACACAGCTTTGCGCTGCTCTCATTGTTTTCTCGGACACATACACTCTCCCAGGGGGGACACTGTTCTCGCTCACCTTGCAGTGTGTGAAGACACTGTCCCGTCCTGACGTCCCACACTCGGACGGTTGAGTCGGCGTTGCCGGACACCAGGATGTTGTCACGCAGCTCCATGCCGCTGGTCAGCGATTGGTGGCCCGTCAGCGTGTGGACACACCCACCTGGACAGGACAGGTTGAGTTGTTTAAACCTTTCATTAAATGTGCTTTAACATGTTTTAAATGATTCTGATGACATGACATTAACATTTTTAATGAGACAATCAGAGAGAAAACGGGCAGATTTATAAAAACATTACAAAATTTAATATAAGGTCTCGGGGGGAGTTTGTATTTCTGTTGTTTCATTATTATTATTATTTTATTTTAATTTAATCTGATTATTTTGATGTTATAATAAGAAATGCAACTCAATTCCGCCACACAAAATAAAAACACCGCCTGACAAAGTACTTATAGTACACTGATTAGTAAAATAATACTGCAACACTGAAGTAATACGCCTTCAAACACACACAGACGTGCAGCTGTAGCTGAAGCAACAGGATGTCATAATTTACATAATCAATGTGTCTCTCTGCTGACACACAAACGTCCTTTTTTAATTTGAATAATTAAATGTTTAAATTAAAACTATTTCAACACTAATAGAGATTTATTTGAAATTGAATAAGAATGTAATTTAACACCTTATAACTCACGTGCATTACATATAATCTAAATTCTTGAATACTTTTTTTTACATGAAGTCATACCTATTTTCTTGACATTTAACAACGTATTCTAATTATGATTGTAGTGTAATTTAGGGTACGTAGTCAACACAGTTCCCTTATGTCATTGCAAGCAGTTGCCAGTTTATTAGGTACACTCAGGGTAGACAAAATATTGGAAACACAAATTACAGCCTTGAGAATTACAATAAAACTGTGACTGAACATTTTGAGGTTGAGGATTTATTGCCAGGTCGTGACTTTGTTTTCTAGCTATGCGTACCTGATAAACTGGTAATTATGTACCAAGCGTATATATTTACTAATATATAAGCTTAATTAATTTAAATTCATGTCTGGACTGAACAGAGTGATCTGTGTCTCTACCTGTCTCTGCGTCCCAGACTCTGATAGAAGTGTCCAACGAGCCGCTCACCACAAACATGCCATCAAACTGGAAAGAGAGAAGATCATGCGAGTGTTTTACACGCCTGCAACCTCCAGGGACGGACATTTTATCTCAGACACAAACACAGGCTTATTGATTATGTTGGTCAATAAATATCAGATTGGGATCAGACTAGAAGACAGTGGATGAAAAAGGCGTGAGTACCTGCAGCGAGTACACTCTGTTGGTGTGTCCCTGCAGTGTGTGCAGACACGCCTCCGTCTCGGGGTCCCACACCTTCACCATGTAGTCGTAGCCGCCCGACACCACGCGGCGCCCGTCGTACTGGACGCAGCGCACCGCCGCCACGTGGCCCGTCAGCACGTGCTCGCAGCGGCCCGTCGACACGTCCCACACGCGCAGCGTCGTGTCCCGAGAGCCCGACACCACCCTGAGGGAGAGAGGGGGAGGTATGACATCACTGCACTGTCAGCTAATCAGGTCAGCTCAAGTTTGTCTTATTAGAGTGAAGCAGAGGTCTGTGTGTTTGTGTGTGTGTGTGTGTGTGTGTGTGTGTGTGTGTGTGTGTGTGTGTGTGTGTGTGTGTGTTCATGCTGTGTGACCCAGTTTCATCATTTCTGTGTTTCTGTGTTTTTGAAGTATGTAGATGTGTGTGTGTGTTCCTGTGTATATGTATGTCATGTGTGTTCATGCATCTATTTAATATGTGTGTTCACTATGTTCAGTATGTGGCTGTATATTTGTATTTATTATTGTGTATGTGTGTGGTTTATGTATGTGTGCGTGTGTGTTGCTGTGTGTTTTAAGTTTTGTGTTTGTGTGTTTATGTGCAATTACTTCACTATATTAATGTTATGCCGGTTACCATGGAGACGAGCTGTAGGCAGTGGGCATGTTTGTCATCAGAGTAAACGTGCGTGTAAATATAAGTGGGTGTGCATAAGTGTGTTTGTGTGTGCGTGTGTGTTACCGGTTGCCGTGAAGATGCATGCAGCGCACAGTGGACGTGTGTCCATACAGCGTGTGGACACACTCGCCCGTCTCGGCGTCCCACACACGCAACGTCCGGTCGGTGGAGCCGCTGATCACCGTGGCGACCGCCATCTGACTGCACCACACGCCGCCGGAGTGACCCGTCAACGTCCGCAGACACTGAGAGACGGAGAACAGAAGCGAATGGTTTTAATGAACAGACGCATCATTCATTCTTTTAAAGGGACAGTCCGCTGATTTCACAAATAAAAGGTCAGTTACGTAACGTCCGCCTCAGCCTGTGAAAACGTAACCCTGATGATGTCATCGTGGGCTCGGAAACAACTCTCTTGTAACAAAAGTCTGTGTTAAATCGCAGGGATGCCTTTTAAACACTATGAATTACTGAATTCATACAAGCCAGGTCCAGATGGCCACGTACACATTTTCAAACAACAGTCCAAAACAAACACATCACCGATGAAAACATTTACCATACTGCTGGAGAAATCTAAATAAATATGAATGAAATAACTCTCCTTGACCTCTTTTCCAGGCTTCCAGGAGTGTCAACAATCACTTAAATAACGTTATTTAAAGTGAGCCTATGTAACATTTGCAGAACAGCGACTACAACTGACAAATACAGCATAAGGGTGAATGTTAAAACGCCATGTAGAAGTACTGCAGCTTCTTTTTATATTGTTACTTTATTTTGTCATTTCTGCCACCGAATGTTTTAATTATGTTGCACTTTTCACTGTCAGCTATCAATGAATAATTAATAAAAATGTAATAATAATACCTCTGAGTAAAAAATAAAAAAAACAATAAAAAAAAAAATCACATTTTTATATTGTCGCCTTTGAAGGAAAATGTTTTGCAACAACAGTGAGGTGCTGGTAGGTCGCAGGATTTATGAATGAAAAGTCAGAAACAGGTCACCTTTATTGTGAACTGTTCCCAGTAAATACAAAAAAGTCATTTCAGAGTGGGGTGGCCTGATTTTGATTTTTAGTTAAAACAGAAGCCAAACCAGAAAACTGAAAAATAAATAAATAAATAAATTTATCACTGTTCACTCATGTATTTCAATCATTTCTGTGTGTAATGTCATAATTAGCAATTTCACATTTGCTGAGCATAATTACACAAATCCCCCAAAAACTTAATAATAATAATAACCCAATAATCCAGATTAGGTAATGGTGCTATTTAGAGTCTTCTGGGCAAAGACTGTTTTCTACATCCAGTATATCTTTGTCAACATTTGTGTGTTTTAAATGTGTGTGTGTGATGAATCTGTGTATATAAAAGTGTGTGTGTCAATATTTGTTCTACTTTTACAGCTCCCCTTGAGGCGCATATACACACACACACACACACAGAAAATGCAGTTTCACCTTGAAGGTGTTGTAGTGGTAGTTGCCGCGGCAACAGAGGAAAACTTTTTCTGCGGTTACTGCTGTGATCCGGGCTGTGGGCGGAAGTTAAACTTCTGCCAATAAAGGTTATTTAAATTGAACTGTCTCAGAGAGGACGAGTGGAAACACACACCTCATCGTCCCTTCAGGGTATAGATGTGTGTGCGTGTGTGTGTTTTTATCTGCATGAAGAATCTCCTAACACACACACACTCACTAACACACACACACTCACTAACACACACACACACACACTAAAGGGCAGGTCCAGACGTAGGACAGAGCAGGTGTGTCCGGTTGAAGAATGTTTCACCGAAACCAGACAGAGACGCCGAGTTGGTGGGCGTGTGTTTCAGTGGTGAAAGAAGTATTCAGATCCTTTACATAAGTAAAAGTACAGACACCACAGTGTGACAGTACTCCACTACAGGTGAAAGCGAAACAGTAAAATGTTTCCTGTCAGTGTTTCACTTTTATATCTGATGTTTCTGGATTAATATTCCTGCTGCATTGATGTGTATGTTGCATTTTTACTGCTGTAGATGTTCAAGGTTGAGCTAATTTAACTGCTTTTATAACCTTTTTTAATCTACAACAATGCATCATGGTCTATAAGATCATCATGTGTTTGTAGCGTTGCTGTCCTGTGGGAACCACGTATCTCTATCAAGTCGGCTTTTCATGAGCTCAGAGAAACAGCCGTTTTTATCTTTGTGACGATGCATTTTCCATCTGATCCAAGGAGGGTTTCAACAGATTATTTAGCTGAAGGAGGAGGATTTTCTCGCTCCGTCGCTACATTAGCTGTGAGTTCTGTTGTACCTGTTGTGTGACGGGTTTGATTCTGTCTTCATCAGTGTAGCTGTGTTTGAACAGAATTTTTGGTTTTCATGCTGATACCTCAGCTGGTTCAGGCCTGTCGTGGTCAGCTGACTGCAGAAGTTTTTCATAATCTTCATATTCCGTGCCGTGGTTAGTTTGCGGTCTTTAACGGCACCCGATTTTTGACATAGTTTGCTGATTGACGTCTTTTGAGCAACATCCATCGAGCCAGGCTGATCCACCTCTAGCGGTACAATCAAAAGACGTAGATTGTTTGGCTGGTGGCGTCAGTGTTTTAACTCCTGGTGCTGTTTGTTCACCCATTTTTTACTTCACTCATGATTTTTCCAGCTTGTTTAACTCTAGCGCACGTGATCTGCATGCATGACGCAATGACAGAGCGGACAAGGTGTTTTTTAATTGTTTCTAGCAAAGTGAGTGACGTAGCCTATTCGATAATGTCGGCTCACAAATAGCTGAAAAAACAATTAAGATATTATTGTAGACAACACATATCGCACACCTCCACTATAGAGGAACACGGCGTCCTTCAATTTATCACACACACACATTCAGAATCACCACATTTGGAGATACGTGGTTTTCACCTGACAGTAATTGTAATCTGAAACGTAATGAGTAACTAAAACTGAAGTATAAAGTCTGAAGTTGCATATAAAAATGAAATACTCAAGTAAAGTACATAAAGCGGTACTTGATTAAATGTAGAGCCCACCTCTTGTGTGTGCGCGTTTGTTTGATACAGGATAAAGTAAAGAGAGGAAGGGGCGTGTGTGTACAGCTGAAATATATATCTGCTAAGAGAAAGAGTCTTTTGACAAACACTGTAGGCCGTGGATTCAAACGGAGACGCCTCAGGCTGCGGCGTACACAGATGGTGTTTAAATAACATTTCAATGACACACACGACTAACACAACTGGTCTGCCTGCTAGTATCGTTTTTTTCACCGCATCCTTTTCTATTCAGCCATCTAAGCTTTACAGTGTCATACTGGGTCATGCTGACCTACATAAAAGGCATCTTTTCTATTTTATTATTCAAATTTATGAAGCACTTTCAAGTAGAGCCCGACCAATAAATCTGCTAAATGTTGGCAACAAACACGTTTGGAGCCACGTTATCTTGGTGAGGGCCAAAAAAACCACACATAACAAATGTGTCGGATTTTAAAATCACAAAATATCAAAATCGGTACCCGTCTTAAAAATCCCATATCTGTCGGGCCTTCAAGTTCAAGGGTTGCGACTAATGATTCTTTCCATTATCAAATACTGTGTGGATCATATTCTTGATTAAAGTATTTATCGTTTTGCATTAAAAAATGTCTGTAACCATGTCCCACAGGCCAAGGTGACGTCTTAAAACGTCTTCTTTTGCCCGGTCAGCTGTCCGAAATCCAACAAACAAGACAAAGAAAAAGGAAAGAATGTTTTTCCATTTTTGCTTTAAAATAAATTCCCTAAAATGATTATTAGATTATCAAAACAACTACAGATTAAATTTTCATGTCTGACAAACTAACAACAGGAATCATTAAACACTGGAAATTATAAAAAATAAAAGTTCTGCTTGAACTGATTCAAAATAAAAGCACTGCTTCTAGAAAGATAAGAAATGCAACGCAATTCCGCCACACAAAATAAAAACACCGCTTGACAAAGTACTTATAGTACACTGATTAGTAAAATAATAACTGCAACACTGAAGTAATACGCCTTCAAACACACACAGACGTGCAGCTGTAGCTGAAGCAACAGGATGTCATAATTTACATAATCAATATGTCTCTCTGCTGACACACAAACGTCTTACCTTGCCAGTGATGGCGGACCAGACTTTGAGCGTGTTGTCGTCGGAGCCGCTGACAATCAGGTCGCCGCTGAGCTGGAGACACGTGATCACATGATCATCGTGACCTTTCAACACCTGCAGAGAGAGAACGTTTATGTTTACATATCAATACACGCTGGCCAGCTGAACCAGGGTGCACGTGACTGAGAGTGTAGCGTACCGCGGGTTCTCGTGTGTCCCCCTTCCTCCAGTTGTTCTCTATACGGTGTTGTCTTATGTAGGCCGATTTCCACGGACTGACAGCGACGCCCGGCCGCACGCACTTCCTGCGACGAGACGCAGACTCTGATACACCTGTGGAGAGACAATTTTGATGACTGATTAATAATTTAAGTAAGAAAAAAAACAACAACACTATTTTCACTGAAGTTGGCAAAGCTAAAAGTATGTTTAATTTTAAGAGCTATGTCAGCTCACACCCCATCAGAGAAGCTAATTAGCAACCACAGTTTTAGCTACTGAGTCTTTAGTTGGACTCAGTTTAATTACTGTGTTATACGCTAACATTGGCTAATGTAGTTTCTACTTGTAATCTAAGCCAACTTAAGTGTAGTTGGCAAAGGCAGAGTGTTAAAGACACTTTTGATGTGGGAGACCTGGGTTCAATCCTCCACCAATGTGTCCCTGAGCAAGACATTTATCCACTAGTTGCTCCATAGGTGTGCTACTTTATTTAGCAATTGTAAGTGGATAAAAAGCGTCAGCTAAATGTGTAAATGTAGTAACTTCTATTGGCATGCCTGGCTGTAGTAGAGTTCCTACTGTAAGCTAACATCAGCGCTATTTCATTATTATGTAACAGGCTAATGCATTGGCTGCATTTGTATTCTCACTAACGCCAACACCGTTCCCACTGGTATGACACGGGTGTAGTGCAAATACAAATTAGCCTTATTTATGAAGCTGGTGAGCTGCAGTTAACACTGGCTTCATTAGTATGGCTGTGTCGTGGTGCTAACACTAGGTCTCATTGGTATGGCTGCTGAGTGCTGGCAGTGAATCTCGGCTGACTGGCACAAAGCCCAGAGAGAAAAACACACACACACACACACACACACACACACACACACACACACACACACACACACACACACCACAGAGCCACTGCATTGCGCTGAATGAAAGAGGAGTGACTGAGTGTAGCCGTGTTTGCATGTTACACTCAGGTTAGAAAGCACTATACAAGCTAAGCTCCCGTCTTGTATTCTTTTACTGTACATATTTCCCCTGTGAAAACACACCAACAGAGCCCCAGCCGAGGCAGCATACGACGAACTCTCACAGCCACAACGGGAAATACAACAAATTTTTCAAGGGTTTGGAAGAAGATGTGCCAAAACAAACACTATGAAAGAGCGATAGAGAGAGAAGAGGAGAAAAGGAAGGAGCCATGCACAGTTAATGTTATTTTAGAAATAAGTCTGGTAAAATGATATATAACAAATATATAACAAATCCTATAAAAAACCCAACAATGTATTTATTTAAAAAGGGACAGCGCACATTAATGAACACCAATGATGTAAATATGCCAGATTTAGCCAGAAGGCTACTTTTCATCTGTAGCCCCCGGTCAGTAGATACTGTTATTAGGTGATCCTGATAACAATATCTATCTTATACATCTGTAATTGTTCTGTCTGTCCAAAATATTTACTAGAGCACAAAATGAAATAGTCCCCAGCTGTAATTCACTATTTTCTTTGTTTGTATTTTTGCCTTATAAAAGTCACATTTAAGACATTTTAGTTAAGTAAAATATATATATCAGAATCAACTTGTGTCATTGTGTTACATTAGGGAAAATACACTTTGTGTCATTAAATCCACCAAATTCACAGAAATAATATAACAGGAGTGACCTCGGTATCTTAAATTGTATCTGCAGCTTTAATGGGCTTGAGGCGCAAGCCACAGACAGGAAGCACTTTGAGACACATTGTTGGTTTTGGTCTTTTCAGGGGATTTGTTGACGCTAAGAAAAACAAATTATAAGACCAGACTAAACCTACAATGTTTACATTATGTTGACTGAGTAATTGCGATGTTCATATATAATTTAGCCATAATTATGGATCCCTGGCAGAAACAGATTCAAGAAGGAAAATAAGTAAAAAGGAAATGACAAGAGAAGACATAAGACAGCCAACAACAAGTCAACCAGTACCAGTGTGTCCCCTATATCACTCAGGATATGCTGAATTACGA